CTGGACAAATTAGCGCACTTTGCTGATGAGCAGTGGGCCAGAATCCAAATACCTGTCAACAGGTGGAAAAGTCTGATTGAGAGTTACAGAAAACACTTGATTGCAGTGATTGGCTCAAAGGGTTGTTCAACAAAATATTAGTTTAGGGGTCCCATCATGCTTGTTTTTTTTTTTTTTCAAATGTATTAAAAAAAAAAATTCTGTTGAACCACAGTTCAAAAGTAATGTCATGATTTTCATGATTTATTTATTTATTTTTTATTATTACTTTTGTCAATTTCAACATGTTTCACAGTTTTTTTCCTTCTTTAATGGGAGGGTATGAATACATTTGAGGACAACTGTAGACTTTAACTTGCTGACAGATGAACTGGTAAAGAACACAGCTGCAGCCCTAAATCTGCGCCCTTATTGTGTGTATGCTGTTCAACTGGTTAATGTAAATGCAGCCGAATATCTTCGTTGTAATATTTGTGTTTTTTTGCGAGCCACATTTCTCTTTCTGTAAATTGGTTCATAGCTTGTTTGTCAGCGTGGGTGTCAGGAGCAGCACAGGCCTCCAGGGACCATTAGGAGGACCGTTGCTGGACCACTGTTGGTACTGTTGCACACGCAGGCTATTTTTACAGGATAGGACCCAGGTGCTCGGTAAATACAGTTCTGTACTGTGAGACAGCCTAATGAAACATGACAAACACGTGGGAATCCACCAGAAGCATGAATGTGACCCAGTTTGTTGGACAAAGGCAAGGCTATGAGGAGTAAAAACCAGCAGAAACAGGTGGAATATATTCATGCTTTGCTTTTAATCACTTCATAGAAAAATTATTTCAGATTTATTTTTTAACACAATATACAATATAATACCATACATTGTGTGAAACATTTAATAACCCACCTGCAACAACTGGGAGACTTGAACATATTATTGACAATAAAAAAAAACCCATCTCTCATGCAGATAGTGCTAAATCTGGCTAACCATTTGGACACAACTAGGACCAAAAAAAAAAAAAAGAAAAAAGAAAAGCTTGAACATAGATAAACAATGTTAATACTGACAAATTTGAATTTCAAAACTGCTAACAAGTTTGGTCAGAAAGAGTTCACACATTAGCACAATCAGTTATATAAGATCATGTTTTGTTGTTAATTCAGAACAATTCACGTCAGTGCTGGGCGTATTGTAGCATGCTACCAATACCGTCCCCACGTTATCTACTTTTACATGAAGTGCGTTAAGTGTAAAAGGAGACAATCCCTTTGTGTTTGTCAGCCGAACCTGTATCTGGCCTCGTATATCAGCAATCTCCATTCAAATGCTGGATGGAGAAGCTTAGGTTGTGACAAGCCGCTGAGAGAAAATAAGCTATTTGTGTACTTTGAAACCAAGCATTGACAATGCTTCGGTGTTCCTTAGCTAGCTTGTATGTATCCTATATCCAAGCCTATGCAGTTTAACATGTCCTCTATGTCGCCTCTGGGTTACCAAACTGCTGATGTCAGATGGAAACCTTGCACCTTTAAAAAAAAAACTCAGTTGGTCCAAAGTTGTTCCTCTTTTAGAAAAAAATATCAAAGAAAAAAAACCAAACAAAACAGGACACTCAAAGTCCACTGTAGAATTCAGGATAATATTTAAGAAATATAATTAGGATGAAATTGAACACAGAAAAACTAATTGACAAAATTTTAATTGAATGTTAACACAAAATGATCAAAAGCTTCTTGTTCATTTTATCTGTGACATGATATTAATAGATGACTTAAATTTTCATCTAAAATTGAGAAAAACAAAAAACAGTTTTGGAGTTGCAAGGTTTTCATATGACAACAACAACATGTCTCTTTAGCTGCTGCTCTGCTGGGCACTCAAACATTGTGCGAATATATACTTAGATATATTTATATATATTTATATATATATAAAAACCATATATAATACATATATAAAAAGACTCTAATCCAGAGTCTTCTACACGTTAGACACCACCACTTCCAGGTAATGCAAGTGCATATAAATTAAAATAGATTTTACACTGAACCAGTATTTCTTAGGGGTGCAACGGTACACAAAGTTCAGTATGAACCTCAGTTTTGGAGTCCCAGTTCGATACAGCAGAGAAAATTGATTTTAGTTTCATATTTTCTCATCATTCTAAAAAATACGCTGAACTGGCCAAATGCTGCAGACTGTCAGTAAGAACAGACTTTGATTTGTTTACTCTTAAGTACAAAACTAACTTAAAAAAAAAAAAGTTCATTAGGTCAATAGCCGTTTATAATGAACTTAAATTAACTATTGCAGTTTCAGATTGCACACAAAAAAGCCATTTTGCTCTTAAACTGTAATTGTCAGCGTGAACAGAGACGTCAGATTGAAATTCAGACTTAATGGGTAGTGTGAGTTAACATGTTTAATAATTAGCACAGTGTCTACTCAGCTTATGAAGCAAACTGTGCACCGCCAAAATGCTCCCGGTAGAGCTCACGCTGGAGATTTTGTGTTCCAGGAGCGTATGTATGTTGACATACTTTAAATAGATTTCTGACAGTAATTTTTTTTGGCTTATTGAGAATACCGAACCAAGGAAATTCATACTGAACTTAATGTCACGTACCGAACTGTTCGGAACGCATACACGTACTGTTACACCCCTTGTATTTCTTATTTACAAACTTAAAGTATAGAATAAATACACACTGTTATAAACAGCAAAAAGGACCAACTTGAGCTCCTAGCGACAAACAGTAGAGACAAAGGTGTGGAGTGATGGGGGGTAAGGCCTGATGACAGAGTCAGCTCATCTAGACACATACATACATACGTATAGAAACGCGCACGCATACAAAACATACATACACACAGCACACAAACGATTGCCACTTAAGCATGCTTTTGTGAAATTAGATGAAGTACCTTTGAGTATCAGTAAACCTACATGAAAATGCAGAGTCGGGATAATGGATGCAACTAGGACATTCAGAAAGTTCAGTCGTGAAAGCCACAGGAGCAGAAATGTGAGGCCTGCAAACCATTTTCAGACCATCATCCCAAATGTAGTTGTGAAGAAACAAAAAGAGGCTTTTTTTTTTTTTTTTTGGGTTTGTGTTAAAAACCGGAACACCCAATTATTATTATTATTTTTCTTTTTCTTCCCAAAAGCGCACAGTCTTGACATGCTGAATCCTGCAGTTCT